GAGTGTTTGATCATTTTTGTTATGTACAGTAGGATACCAGGATTAACGTCCAGCTGACCCATACCAGTCCCTGGAGTTAATTGGATCTAGTAGGAGGGTTTAAACATTTTATAATATTAACGCATATTCTGAGAACCACAGTTTGTTCACATGTGCATCTCTCTCTCTCTCTCTCTCTCTCTCTCACACACACACACACACACACTCTCTCTCTCTCTCTCTCTCTCACACACACACACACACACACACACTGCCCCATCAGTAGGGAACCAGGGCAGGAGGGCTGGAATGTCTTATATTATTGGTGTTGTTGGTTGCAGCATTAACAGTGGAAGAAGGGTTGTCACTACTGTCACAGTGACAATACATACAGGGCCATTGCTGTTTGTGTGTGTAGTGGAAAGGGTGGTTCTGCTACTCAGGATGCTGACCTCGTGGTAATAGCAGTTGTAGTTTTAAGGGTGGCAGTACAATTAGAGTGGGTAATAATGCCCTCGCTTACCTGTATACAGCATTGTCAGTGTGCCTAAGGTGAATGACAAGGGCAGTTTTTCAGGGGAGAGGTCTTGCTTTTCTTTTGATACTACTTTATGTTGCTAACTTTTGTTGGAATTTTACTAATAGCTTATATTATTGTGTACAGTTTGGGTCACTGCATCTCAAAAATATATCATAGTATTGGGAAAAGGGCAGAAAGGGGCAACTAAAATGATTAAGGAGATGGAATGCCTTCCCTATGAAGAAAGGTTAAAGAGGTTAAGGCTGTTTAGCTTGGAGAAACGACCCCTGAGATGTGACATGATAGAGGTGTATAAAATTATGCATGGGGTAGAGAAAGTAGAGAAAAAAGTCCTTTTCTCCCTTTCTCACCATACAAGAACTCATGGGCACTCCATGAAATTAATGAGCAATAGGCTCAGAACAGATAAAAGGAAGTCCTTTACCCAAAGAGTAATTAACAGGTGGAATTCACTGCTGCAGGAAGTGGTTGGCGGCTACAAGCATAGGCAGCTTCAAGAGGGGGACTGGGTTAATGTATGGAGCAGAAGTCCATCAGTGGCTACTAGTCACAACGTGTAGATGGAACACTCTGTCGGGGTCCACTACTGATGCTCTGTATTCTTGGTGCTTGGGGGGGGGGCTTCTGGAGTTCTGGCCCCACTCTTGCAGCCATACATGACTACTGGGAATACCATTGCTTTGACCATGCGGACTTTTGTTGGCAGGGTGAGGTCTCTACTTTTTATCATGCTGTTTAGGTTCGCCATCACTTTCCTCCCAAGGAGCAGGCGTCTTTTAATTTAATGGCTGCTGTCACAGTCTGCGGTAATCTGGGATCCCAGGAACGTGAAGTCTGTCACTACTTCCACAACTTCCCCTTCTATTTGCCAAGGAGTGATGGGGCCGGATGCCATGATCTTAGTTTTTTTGATGTTGAGCTTCAAGCCCACTTTTGCGCTCTCCTCTTTTACTCTGAGCAAGAGTCTCTTAAGGTCCTCTTCACTTTCTGCCATTAGAGTTGTATCGTCTGCATAGACGAACAGATTAGTGGAGGATTAATGGAGGAGAGGTCTATCAGTGGCTACTAGCCATGGTGACTGAGGGGAACTTTCACATTCAGAGGCACTAAACCTCTGAATCCCAGAGCCAGGAGGCAGCATCAGGGGAAGGCCTTGGCCTCTCTGCCCTGTTGTTAGCCATCCAGAGGAACTGTATGGTCACTGTGTGAAACAGGAGGCTGGACTACAGGGACTCCTGGTCTGATCCAGCAGGGCTCTTCTAAAGTTCTTTTGAGGAGAAGGCCTCGGCCTTTATTCCATATTGTTGGCCCTCCAGAGGAACTGGTTGGGGCCACTGTGTCAAACAGGATGCAGGACTAGATGGACTCTCACTGGTCTGATCCAGCAGGGCTCTTCTTACGTTCTTGTCAATCTTCTTAACTTTGCTATCCTTTTAATGGGGTGGAGGACCTGGGTGTCCTTTGAATCCCAAATAGATACAATCCAACTTGCATTCAAACGCTGTTATGGTGACATTAGCTTTTATGGACCGGAGCCCGCATCATCAAATGCACAAGAGACTTTTGTCGGCGGGCAAGCTGTTTTGTGCAAAACAGTTGACAATAGCAAGGCCGGAAGGCTGTGAAGTGCTTTTGACGTTTCTACGTCCGGAGACCGTTTGCAGCACAATAGTTTTGTCGTGTTAAATCAAACGGTGGAAGAGAGAGCCATGATTCTGGTTGAGTCCAAAACAAATAGGATCGAGCTTGTGGCCCTTGAGAGGACAACAGGTTTATGGCGGTACAAGCATGACTTCGTCAGATGCATGGCATGCTGCCCTTCGTGTGTTCGTGCATTCGTATATAGAGAAATTGCGAGTGGCAGAGCTGAAAGACCATGAAATTCAGGCGCCAGGCGGTTCCACCTGTGACTTTTTGTACAAAGCTCCAACATATAGAAGAAAGAAAGAAGAATGTAGTCTTCATAGCTTTGCTAAACTTATTTATGAAAATATTTTATTTTACAAAATGTATACCCCGCCTTTCAGTCCTTGTAATATCATGAGGATAACTTGTGTGTCAGTCTTTCTTGAAGGACTATTTATAGAACCCCCAGTAGCAGCAAGCCAGAGAACCTTTGCCATGGGTCAAGCCAGTGTTCCCTCTAAGCTGAGTTAGTGTGAGCTAGCTCACAGTTTTTTAGCCTCTGGCTCACGCATTTTTGTCTTCGCTCAGGAAGGTTGGCTCCAGAGCAAACTGATTTATGCAGTAGCCAAATCACTCATTCAGAACTCCAATGCCAGCAACTCACAAAGTTGAATTTTTGTTCAGAAGACTCCACAGTTTAGAGGGAGCATTGGTTCAAGCCCAGGTAACTCCAGACTTCCAGGTAGACTTGTACACCTGCCGATCTTTTAAAACCAGCTGCTGGGTGCATGAAGAAGGGGGCCTTGTGATTTGGACTCACAGCTTGCAAGGTCACTTTCATCTGCCTTTTTTCCTAGCTGTTCTTTAGCAGAAAGTTCTGGAAGGTGCTGACTTGAACAGGGGCAGCAAGAAACTGTCCCAGGTCTCTTTTGACAGTTACTGCTGTTTGGCACATAGCGGGGGTACATCTTCTGCATTCTCTGCTGCTGTTGTACTGTAATGTTGGAACACTTTCCCTATGACGAAAGGTTAAAGCGCTTGGGGCTCTTTAGCTTGGAGAAGCGACGGCTGAGGGTGACAGGATCGAGGTTTATAAGATTCTGCATGGGATAGAGCAGGTCGAGAAAGGAGTACTTGTCTCTCTTTCTCACAATACAAGAACTCGTGGGCACTCCATGAAATTGCTGAGCGGTTGGGTTAGAACGGATAAAAGGAAGTCCTTCTTCACCCAAAGAGTGATTCACACATGGAATTCACTGCCACAGGAGGTGGTGGCAGCTACAAGCATTCCGGAGGGCGTCAGAAGAGGGCCTGGCGTGAGGTGGTCCACGGGGTCGCGAAGAGTCGGACTCGACTGTGCGACTGAATGACAAGAGCAACAACAAAAGAAACACAACCACAAAAAAACCCAAGAACTGAGATTGTAGGCTGACTCCTAGCGTAAAACTGTTTAGCGAACCATTTCACCTTCATAGAACTCCTACCTGATGTTGTTGAAAGCAGTAATAATTATGTATCATTTTTTCAGAAGCTTCATTTCCTCCTGACCTGCCTCTGCGTAGAGATCTTGGGATTCTTGGGCCATCTCCCACCCAAATACTGACCAGGACTCACCCCGCTTTGCGATTAGACTCGGCTATACTGGCCCAGCGATGGCAAATACTTATAGTACTACACGATCGTATAGTACTATATCTACTATAATATTTAGTATACATACTGTCTAAAACAGCTGTAAAAGGTCTTGCACTGACGAAACTTACTGTGAGCAAGGCTCCGTTAAGGTGTCTTGTCATTATTAAATTTAAGCTGCAATAGCTGGGAGATAGATTTTAACTTTAAAGGGGATTTAACTCTAAAAGGGATTAAATAGACTTATCCTCCACGAATCTATCAATGGCTACTAGCCATGGTGACTGAGGGGAACCTCAACATTCAGAGGCACTAAGCCTCTGAATCCCAGAGCCAGGAAGCAACCTCAGGGGAAGGCCTCGGCCTCTCTGCCCTGTTGTTGGGCCTCCAGAGGAACTGGTTGGGGCCACTGTGTGAGACAGGATGCTGGACTAGAGGGACCTTCAGGGGTCTGACCCAGCAGGGCTCTTCTCATGTTCTTATGAGGCGAAGGCCTCGGCCTCTCTGCCCTGTTGTTGGGCCTCCAGAGGAACTGGTTGAGGCCACTGTGTGAGATGGGATGCTGGACTAGATGGACCTTCAGTGGTCTGATCCAGCAAGGGCTCTTCTTATGTTCTTATGAAGGCCTCGTCCTCTCTGCCCTGTTATTGGCCCTCCAGAGGAGCTCTTTGGGGCCACTGTGTGAGACAGGATGCTGGACTAGATGGACCTTCAGTGGTCGGATCCAGCAGGGCTCTTGTGATGTTCTTATGAAGGCCTCGGACTCTCTGCCCCATTGTTGGCCCTCCAGAGGAACTGGTTGAGGCCATGGTGTGAGACAGGATGCTGGACTAGATGGACCTTCAGTGGTCTGATCCAGCAGGGCTCTTGTGATGTTCTTATGAAGGCCTCGGACTCTCTGCCCGGTTGTTGGCCCTCCAGAGGAACTGGTTGAGGCCACGGTGTGAGACAGGATGCTGGACTAGATGGACCTTCAGTGGTCTGACCCAGTAAGGGCTCTTCTTACGTTCTTAACGTTGTGGGGCATCGCTAGATGAACATGTGTTAAGACATCTGTTTGGAATGTGTTTTTGCCATTCACAGTTGACTACCGAGCCAAAAGAAAAGGCTGTGTAATTCAGAACGGGGGTCTCTTTCTGACATGCAGCTGCCACCACCCATGTCTCAGAGCTCAGCTGCTTCGGGTATCGGTGTAACTCCCCCTCCTTTGATCCCTCCCCAGATGCCTCACTCCAGAAGGTGCCGCTCTTCAGAACGCAGCAGCCGGGGCAGCCGGGGCAGCTATCACGAACGTTACAGAAGCCGCAAGCACAAGAGGAGGCGGAGTTGCTCACGGTCGAGCAGCAGCGACCGGCAACACCGCAGGGAAGACAGCTACCACGTCCGGTCCCGGAGGTAAGTGGGAGGAAAGGTGAGAGAAAGCTGAGCACACAACTTAAGATCGTGGCTCGCCTTGGGGAATTCACGTACAGCGCTGTCCTAAGTGGAGTTACTGCTATTCTAAGTCCATTGGAGTCCTGAAAACGCAGCACTTAGGACCTCTCAGCCGTACACGACAAGGCAGTTGTGTGACAGACAAGGGGGAGTGAAGAAGACCCTGGGTGCAGAATGCTACGGCATGCGGGAGCACATCCAACCTGTGCAGAAAGCGCTGCACTGGCTGCCAATAGCATACCCGATTCGCTTTAAGGTGCTGTTTTTGATCTTTAAAGCCCTTTATGGTCAGGATCCAGCATCCCCAGACATTGCCCAGAGAGCACTGCGTTCAGGGGCCCAAAACTGGCTGGCCTTCCCAGGCCCCAAAGAAGTCAGGCTGGCGATAACCAGAGCCAGGGCCTTCTCAGTGGTGGCTCCGTACTGGTGGAATGAGCTCCCAGAAGAGATCAGGGGGGCCTGCAAGACGGAGCTCTTCCACCAGGCCTTTGACTAGGAGCCGCTTTAAACACTGAGGAGTGACCCTGTGCCCTGGCTTCACCACCGTCAGCCTGTCTTGCCACATAAATGAGTCGACCAAACTGAGCTGACGTGAGAATAACATCATGACTGTCACCTAAGTATTACTGTACAGTCTAGAAACTTTGCTCCCGCACTTTATTCGAGTATGTTCCAGCACTTTACGATAATAATTGAGTTGTTTTACTGTTGTTTTATGACAGATTTTCATTGTATTTATATGTACTTTTATATAAGCCGCCCTGAGCCTGCCTTAGCTGGGAGGGCAGGGTCTAAATTTAATAATATAATAATAATAATAATAATAATAATAATAATAATAATATAAAAAATAAAATTTATTTGATTTGTATTGCTTCTGCTGTAATCTCTTAACTGCTGGATGGTTTGATTAATTTTTACTTATTTACCTTGTTTCTAGCCCAGCTTTCTTACTGAGACTCGCAGTGGGTTGGGTAACAGAATAAAAACCATGCACTCACGTAGCAGACAACACCCAGTGAACAATGTAATGGCAAAGTTTAAGCACTGGATTTTTTAATGTGTTCAAACCGAGATTTATAAGAACAAAGTTTGAGTCCAGCGGCCCCTTTATGACCAACAAAGTTTATTTATTTATTTATTTGATTTGATTTATACCCCGCCCTCCCCGCAATGCCTTTGCCCTCCCCAGTACGGAGCCACCACTGAGAAGGCCCTGGCTCTGGTTATCGCCAGCCTTTCTTTAATTCTGGGTTCAAGCTTTTGTGTGCATGCAAACTTCATCAGATACTTTGAAACAGACTTCCTCAAGCCTTGCATATAGATAGAGAGCGGGTGGGGGGCTTAGTTGCCAGGAAGGGCTCGTTAGAGTTGAGATTAGGAGTGTGCACGAAAAACAAATCGGCTTTTTTTGGATTCGGGTCCATTGGACCCGGAAAATATCGGTAGTTCCTGATATTTCCAAATATTGGTATGATATTGGGATTCGGGTAAATAATTGGGAAAGCCAAATTTATTTGGGGGTCTAAAAATGTCTTCTCCCGTCACTCACAGAGGTGTCCTGCAGCAGCGGCGTGACTCAAGCAATGAAAGGAAGCTATTTTAAAAATGCCTCCCCTCCCCTCCACTCACGAACTTATGCCACCACGGCATGCCTCTATAAACGAAGGGAATGCCTTCTCCAAGCCGTGCTGCTGCAATGACAATATAGCTGGCCCCAATAAAAGCCAAATAAAATCGAGATGTATAAGTAGCTGAGTCATAGGTATAGATAAGATTGGATTCTGAGACGCCCGGGATCCAGTAGAAACATAGCAGCATATTTTGAGCCTGAATGTTAATTGAGATCAGCGTCCTATCTGAATTTAATATTCTGAAGACTTGTTGTCTAACATTTATGAAACTGAGAGCTTTGGCACCACTATAATATCTCCTGAAGAAGATCCATTTTTTGAAACGTTGTTATGTAATCCGGAGACGACGTTGATTATGTACCTTGGTTCAAGGATTTTCTATTGAGTTGTGTATCATGTTGTAGTGCTTTAGATTGCAATACATAAACAGCATTCTTTATAAGTCTTCTGACTGTTTGTGGGTCAGACTATCACGACTGTTGGCTTTATACTTGTTTAACTGATTGGGTCGTGTGTGTCTTTTGTAAGATTGGATTAAAGCAGTTGGTAAGACCTGTGAATAGCGGCAAATTAGCACACACATACAAGAGTGAGCAAACAAATTTGAGAACTGTGTTGGGCTTGGAGATGCCTCAGGACTCAAACTAAGTTCGATTTTGGGTATAAGCGAGAACTCAGAGACTTGGCATATGTAGATGCACACTTCTTCAGATACATTGAAACAGATTTCCTCAAACATTATGTATAGGGGTGTGTGGGGGTAGTTGCCAGGAAGAGCTAATTGGAATAATGCAGTTGGTAAGACCTGTGAATAGCAGCTCTCTCTACCTGTGTGTAAAGCCGGAAGAAACCCATTTCAGAGTATCTGAGGGAGTGTGCATGCCCATGAAAGCTTATACCCAGAATTAAACTTGGATGGTCTCGAAGGTGCCACTGGACTCCAACTTCGTTCTGTTGCTTCAGACCAAACTTGTTTAACGTAAGAGCCACATAGAATAAACATCAGATATTTGCAGGGGTCATTTCGTAGAAAAAGAGGTGCAGGAGCTCATTAGCATAACTTATTTGCATATGCCACGCCCCCTGACATCACCGGAAGTGTGTCAGAAGGCAACACCCACCGCTCAGGCTCCACTGGACTGTTTTGGATCGCTAGCTATTGGGGGGAGGGGATGTGCAGATCTGCCCCCACAGAGGAGGGAGAGCTTGTACTTGATGGGGGGGCTCTGCAACTTACCTGGCTGCTTCTTGCTCCTCGTGGCCCGACTGAGGGCTGCTGGGAGCATGGGGTGGGGCTTGTTGCATGTGCCTGCCTCCTGGGCTCCTTACTGCCGGAGCTCCGCTCCTGTGTGCTCCTGCAGGAAATGACCCCTGGATATTTGAAAGCTGCAAGACATGAACAAATATAGCCCATACCTTTTAATTGAAAAATATGCAGATTTGCTTTTAATTAACATAAAATGAGGCTGCCGAAAATAAAAACAAAAGGGATAAAAAGAGGTACTGATAACAATATTTATTTGTCCAACAATATTCGTAGGCTTGGGGGCGGGCGGGCTTTGAGAACACATTTAAAGTTGCTTTCTTTCTACCTCCCAGGGTGTCTGTTGTGGGAAGGGGAAGAGAAAGGAGTTTGTAAGCCGCTCTGAGACTCCAAGTGAAGGGCGGGGTATGAATCCAATCTCTTTTTCTCCTCTTCTCTTTCTCTGCTCACCCCACCTCAAGCCTACCCAGAGAGGGGAACACTGGCTGGGGAAGGGAAGACCAATAGGGGAGGCATGCCTCCCCTTCACTTCCCCAGCCACCCTGCCGGGAGCCACACAATAGATGTGAAAGAGCCACAGTTTGGCCACCCCTGCTTCAGACCAACATGGCTGATTTGTTCTTTTCTGTGCTAGTAGAAAGTAAAATACATACGGCCAGAACTCCTTGGAGGGCAGGTGGGATAAAAGTGTAAACAAGCATCCTTTTATTCTCAATATTCTCTCATCTCCATTTGATCCTCACAACAGCCCTGTGAGGGAGGGCTAAACTGGTTGTGCATGACTAGTCCAAGGTCACCTAGCAAGTCCACGAAAACGGAGAGGCTGGTTAGAATTTTCCAGCCCCGTGGGTCAAGTACGCAGGGTGAATAAGCCACATTGCAAATACGGATACAGATCCGGAGCGTCAGATGGTTTGCACACAGAAAAAGGATGTTTATTTAATTTATACCCTGCCTTTCTCCTCTGTTTTATTCTCACAACAACCTCGTGGGGGAGGTTAGGCTGGGTGCGGGGGATTGTTGCGAGGTCACCCAGCCAGCTTCCATGGCAGAGTGGGGATTTAAACCTGGGTTTCCCAGATCCTAGGCCAGCACTAACCACTGTACGGTACCGAATCTCTAAAGCAACGCAGTTACATTTTTCACATAATAAAAGTCATTGAAAGGAGCCGCCGTAAAAATTAAAATCAAATTCCAGAAAATCAGGTCTGCTAGGTTCACTTTGAGACTTTATCACTGAGCGACGTGGCCCCGGAGATAAATTTCCCTGTTACATCCGTCAGCCTTTTGTCGTTCCCCAGGAGAAGGTTTAGAAGGTGGTAATTCAGCAGAGCAATCAGGACAAAGCAGCCTTAAGTATAATCTCCGCTCTTTGCCTAATATACATCCTACAAGAAAAGAAATATATATGCACACATTGACAATAGGTTATAAAGTCTAGGCTTCACCAGGGCATCTTCTCTGCTTTGGAAGGATTGCTCTGGTGTCTGCCCTGTTAACTCCGCTTAGGGGAGCATGTTCAAGCCGAATCTTGAGAGATTCGAGAGCCAGTTTGGTGTAGTGGTTAAGTGCGCGGACTCTAATCTGGGAGAACCGGGTTTGATTCCCCACTCCTCCACTTGCACCTGGCTGGATGACCTTGGGCAAGCCGTAGCTCTGATAAGAGCAGTTCTCTCAAGTCTCTCTCAGCCCCCACCTACCTCACTGGGTGCCTGTTGTGGGGAGGGGAAGGGAAAGGAGTTTGTAAGCCGCTCTGAGACTCCTTCGGGTAGTGAAGGGCGGGATATAAATCCAATCTCCTCCTCCTCCTCCAAGCATGCCAAAACAGCCTGCAATAAATAGGAACCATGAGAGTAAGTATCTACCGTACTATATGTAAATGCATGTAAATCTGTGCTGTGCACTCTATTAAATACTCAGTCAAGGAAGCCACGGCCCTCAGTTTGCCTGAACAAGGCTGTTAACGAGAGGATGTTTTGGAGGACATCGACTCATAGGGCTGCCACAAGTTGGAAGTGACTTCACAGCACTACACACACACACACAACGGCAAGGATGACTTGGACTTATTTCTGCATGCACAGGCCAGAAAAAAACAGGTGGTCTGTTAAAAGTTAAAAAAACAGGGGGTTAAGTTAAAAAAAAACCCTTTGTGTTTGTGTCCTTTGTAAAGTTATTATATCTCTGCTACCTGGCATTACATTTTATGAAACACATGGCCCGGCCCTACAAGGTCTCATGTATGTCAGAACTCTGCTGGCTCCCCAAATGAATTGTCCGCTTCTCCCACGCAGCCACGATGACCACTCGTCCGACCGGCGGTACTGCGACGGCTACCGGCGAGACGGCTACAGTCGCGAGCGCGGCGAAGCATACTACGAGGCCGAGTACCAGCACTCCTACGAGTACCAGCACTCCCGGGACAGGGACTGCAGCTACCGCAGCTGCAAGAGCAGCCGGCGGAAGCGCCGGCGGAGACGCCGTCGCACCCGCTCCTACAGCCGCTCTTCATCGGTGAGTATCCGCCGGTCCCTCCCTTCCCTCCCGCCCCACCCCATGCAGTGTGCTTGGTAGGTAGCACACCCTTTCGGGCATGGTGGCGGAGATGGACAGAGCTGCATGTTTTCGTGCTTTGGGGTCTCTCAGGGCAGTCCGGGGGCCGGGTTCCTGCTCTATAAATGCCTGCAACTGCTTTTCTTAAGGATCAGGGGTAGAAGTCTCTGTGTAGGAGGCCTGTAGTCGCTCCGTCCCCGCCGGTTTGGCAGGGACTTACTGCTTGCTGCTGCGGTGTTTGTGGCGTGTGTGTGAGCGTGTGCTGAATTAGGTTTATATGCTGCAGAAGAAAATCCCAAGGCGGCTTCTGGTTCTCAGCTAAAACAGATGTAAAACGCATTGCGATTAAAAGTCCAAGGAAGCAGCGGCGCTCAATTAAAACAGAGCAGTCTTAGCAAATAATACGGAGCGGTATTCGAGGGAAAGGGAAACAGGAAGGCCGCGTACGAAAGGGAGCAAGCGGTCGCAGCACAGCTAAGGGAAAAATCTAACCGTCCACTAAGGCCTGGGCAGACGAAGCGTAACCTAAGGAAACGAAAGCCGTCTCTTTTATTTTTATTTATTAAATCTCTGCTGTCAACTCGTAGCTGACTGAATGGCGACCCTGTGGGGGTTTTTCGAGGCAAGAGACATTCAGAGGTGGTTTGCCATTGCCTGCCTCGGCATCACAACCCTGGTATTCCTTGGTGGTCTCCCTTCTGAATTCTGGCCAGGCCTGACCCTGTTTAGCTTCTGAGACCCGATGAGATCGGGCTAGCCTGGGCTATGCGGGTCAGGGTCTCTCTCGTATTAGGCCCAACTAAAAAAAAAAATCAGTGCAAAGTTCTGCTTAGAATTCTTCATCAGAACGGATGTTAAAATAAAATAAGGAAGGGGAAGCAGATGTTTCAGGCCATGACGTTGAAGGGTCTTGCCTACAATTTGGGCAGAACCTGCAACAGCTTCGATTTAGATTAGGTAGCTGTATCAAGTAGCACTTTGGGCTTTCGAGGAAGGGGGGGGGGAGGCGGTTTCCAACCTGTAATCAATCATACGTATCTCTAGGACGGCTCAGGCCCTTTGTGAGGCTAAGAGCAGAGGGGGAAATCGTCGTAGTCTTTACCTTAAGAAACCTTAGAGGGTGTGTCAAGCTAGCAGTCTTCAGCCTTTCCAACCTGAGAATCCCTGAACTGCATGAACATAAGAGGAGGTCATGTGACAGGAAGGGGAGGGGCCAGAATAATGACCTCTCACCGGGGGAGGGAGTCGACATAGAGAACTGTTTCTCCCTCTGCCAGAATACTAGAACTCAAGGACATCCAATGAAGCTGGTGGGCGCTTACACGTCTTCAGACACTGAGTGATTGAAATGTGGAATTCACTGTCAGAGGACGTAGCAATGGCCGCAGGCATAAGGTAAAGGTTTCCCTTGCTCGAAAGCTAGTCAAATCCAACTCTGGGGGGCGGTGCTCATCTCCGTTTCCAAGCCGAAGAGCCAGCGCTGTCCGAAGACGTTTCCATGGTCATGTGGCCGGCATGACTAGACGCCGAGGCGCACGGAACACTGTTACCTTCCCACCGAAGTGGCGCCTATTTATCTACTTGCAATGTCTTGCTTTCGAACTGCTAGGTTGGCAGAAGCTGGGGCCAGAGACAGGAGCTCACTCGGTCACGCGGCACTCGGGTCTCGAACTGCCGACCTACAGGCCTTCCGGTCTGCAGCTCAGCCATAGAAAGGGGTTTGAATAGATTCACAGAGGGTAGGTCTATCAGTGGCTACTAGCCATGGTGACTTACGTCAAGGCTAGGACCGTGAGCTGGGGACCAAGAGAGGCAGGAAATGTTAAGCCCAGGTCTGGGAGGGGTGCCATTGTGAGGAACAAGCCGTGTCTTGGATCCTGGAGGGATCCTCTGAGCCACTGGCTGTCCTCCTGTTCCTTTCAGCGTGTGTTCAAAGAGAGGCGGGAGGCCATGGTGACTTACGTCAAGGCTAGGACCATGAGCTGGGGACCAAGAGAGACAGGAAACTTTAAGCCAAGGTCCGGGAGGGGTGCCATTGTGAGGAACAAGCCGTACCTTGGATCCTGGAGGGATCCTCCGAGCCGCTGGCCGTCCTCCTGTTCCTTTCAGCGTGTGTTCCGAGAGAGGCGGGAGGCGCGGCATCCCTGTCCCCTGTGTACTCACACCACGGCAGGTTCTTCCAAAAGGCAGCAAAAAATGACTTTGCTGTTGGGGGCGGGTGACGCAGCAAATGGGGCTTTGCAAGAGTCCAGGAGCACCTTCAAGACTAACAATATTTGTGATGGGATGAGCTTTCGTAAGTCACCACTCACTTCTTCAGGTATCTCGCCACAAATGCTCCCTCTAAGCTGTGGAGTCTTGTGAGCAAAAATTCTACTTTGTGAGCTACTGGCATTAAAGTTGTGAGCGAGCCATTTGGCTGCTGCATGAAAGAGTTTGCTCTGGAGCCCTCCTTCCCGAGCTAAGATAAAAACCTGTGAGCTGGAGGCCAAAAAACTGTGAGCTAGCTCACACTAACTCGGCTTAGAGGGAACACTGCTCACCACAAATTTTGTTAGTCTTGAAGGGGCTCCAGGACTCTTGCTCTTTTCTGCTGCTACAGACAGACTATCACGGCTTACCCACCTTGATCTGCCTAAGGAAAGGTGGCGGTCGTATCACCTGACCAGCATCTCTGCTCCCGCATAGAGAGTCCCAGCTGCTTCAGTCTCTCCTCCTAGGACGTGGTAACCATTGTAAATCGAAGTCATGGAACACTTAGAGATGGACAGCTGGCAGACCGCAGACCCATGAGGTTAGGGAGTGCCCCAGACTGTTGGTTCGTTTGTCCCAATACTTTGGGAGCGTGCCTGTCTGAAGAGCGACGGCCCCAGGAATAGACAGCTTTAAAGGGGGGTTAGATAAATTCTTGGACTATAGGTCTATCAGTGGCTACTAGCCACGTTGACTGAGGGGAACCTCCACATTCAGGGGCACGAAATCCCAGAGCCAGGAGGCAAAATCAGGAGAAGGCCTTGGCCTCTTATGTGGTTTTGTTGGCCCAATCAGAGGAACTGATTGAGACAGGATGCTGGACTAGATAGACCCTCACTGGTCTGATCCAGCAGGGCTCTTCTGATGTTCTTGTGAGGGGAAGGCCTCGGTCCCTCTGCCCTGTTGTTGGCCTTCCAGAGGAACTGGTTGAGGCCACTGTGTGAGGCAGGATGCTGGACTAGATGGACCCTCACTGGTCTGATCCAGCAGGGCTCTTCTTACTTGGGGAAGGCCTCGGCCTCTCTGCCCTGTTGTTGGCCCTCCAGAGGAACTGGTTGAGGCCACTGTGTGAGACAGGATGCTGGACTAGATAGACCCTCACTGGTCTGACCCAGCAGGGCTCTTCTAATGTTCTTATGAGGGGAAGGCCTCGGCCTCTCTGCCCTGTTGTTGACCCTCCAGAGGAACTGGTTGAGGCCACTGTGTGAGACAGGATGCTGGACTGGATGGACCCTCACTGGTCTGACCCAGCAGGGCTCTTCTGATGTCCTTATGAGGGGAAGGCCTCGGCCTCTGTGCCCTGTTGTTGGCCCTCCAGAGGAACTGGTTGAGGCCACTGTGTGAGGCAGGATGCTGGACTAGATGGGCCACTGGTCTGATCCAGCAGGGCTCTTCTTATATTCTTAGTCTGAATTGAGGGCTTTGGCCAAGCAAGTGTCCTCCCAGCGCCGTAGCAAGAAAGAAAGCATCCGGAACTTGTCCAAGCCAAGGGGGAGAGCAAGCAGGAAGAAGAACGGCAAGCAGTGGGGACCAATTTTATGCAGACAACCTGTCCCTTCCAGGGAGCTCTGGACACTGAACGTGGTCCCCCTCCCTCTTTTCATCCCTGCGGCGTAGTTCAGGCTGAGAGAGAGCTTAGCTTGAGGCTACCTGTTGAGTCTCAAGGCCAAGTGGGGAATTTGAACCCAGGTCCCACTTTGTCTCTTCAGCCACTCTCCAACACGCGCTGTGCTCAATCTTTAGGCCTGGCGAAGGGGAAGCGACAGTATTATTCCATTTTGTAGAGCCGCTCGTTCATCAGAGTGCTCCGGCTCTGTCCATTCCCAGGATATTTTCCTCCCCCATAAAGTGTTGCTTGTCGTAACCCGTTTTTCCCGCTAAATTTTCTTTCTAAATTAAAATAGCAAATCAGGTGCACCCTCATTCTCCCCCCCCCCCAAAAAAAGTTTGACTTTATGAGCATGCAAGAAGAAAAATCTGCTGTCGTAGGTGGCCGTTTCTGGAGTTCGCCATTCACGCGCATGCCTCCCGTTGGGAGGGGATGCACGGCCAGAGTGGTTGACTCATCCAGAGGTGCGACAGGCAGTTTTGTATGACACATGGTGACCTCTGCTGTGACTCTGCCTCGGGAGCCATTAAAAGATGCCAGATGGGGCCATTGTAGACATGTTACAGAGTCAGCCACCCGTGCTGCCGGTAGGAACTAAGTGGGAGAAGATGAGACTGGAGCAGTAAATCATGCAGAGGCATAGCGAGCAGACTCCTTTGTCAACAGGTGCTTAGTTATCATGGAAAGCTTTAATTGCTAAGGCTTACAGCTTGGAAAAATACTGATTTTTACGGGTTGTGGATAGAATTTGTGAAAGGTATCAGGTTCGCCACGGGCGGAATGTTGTTTAAGCCAGTTTCTCAACTTGTTAGTAACTAGGGCTGCTAGATCCGCCAGGAGGGTGGGGGTCAGTGTTCCCCCTAAGCTGAGTTAGTGTGAGCTAGCTCACAGTTTTTTAGCCTCCAGCTCACATATTTTTGTCTTCGCTCAGGAAGGATGGCTCTAGAGGAAACTAATTTATGCAGTAGCCAAATGGCTGGCTCACAGCTTTAATGCCAGTAGCTCACAAAGTAGAATTTTTGCTCACAAGACTCCACAGTTTAGAGGGAACATTGGTGGGGGTTTGCCCACTTTAGGGGTCCCCCAGTCCGCTGGCCCGGATCTGGCCAGTGGGGGAACCCCGCCCCCCAAAATGCCTGGACCGGGCTGACGTGCCCAATGCGATGACGTCACCCGAAGGTGACATCATCTCGCTGGGCACGTCGCCGGGGGGAACGCTCTAGCATTTCGTCTGGAAACTCTGTGGTATTAGAAGATGCTGGGAGAAGAGCTACTGCCCCCCCCCAGGGGGGGGAAGGTAGGGACCCGGCAGCCCTATTGATAACTCTTCCCTGGGCAAGGGGGAGTTTGCTCATATAACATCGCCCTGGTGGGGCAGGGAAGCTGGCATGAATTGTGCCTCCTTGGAGAGCCTCTGCCTTTCCAGAAGCTGTCTGTCTGGGCTAGCAGAGTTCTCGCCTTCTACATGTCCTATGGTCTCCAAGATGCAATGATTACGGTTTCAGCTCCCCCCTGATACGTTAGAGCTCATCTGTCTCTTCTGCCCTCATGCCTCAGCTTGGGGTGGGTCTGTTTTGCGGGAAGACTTCTCCGTATTTCCCCGCCCCCCTCTTCTTTTCATATATAGAGTTATATTTTTTTTACAAAAATAATTATTTTCCTGAGCTAGTGTGTGTGTTATCTTGACTTTGTTTTCCCCCCTTGCAATATCCCTTATCGTTTTTATACATATATGCGCCTCTGTGCCGTATGAATTGGCCTGGGAATCGTCCCGTTCCTCCTCCTCCTAATCCGCCACGGGCCCAACCTGCCTGCCATTTGCCACGGGTGACGGCTCGCCCGCTGACTTGCCCGCGCCGCTTTGAAAACCGCCCCGGTTGGCCCGGTGAATGAATGAATGAATGAAAAAACCAAACCCCCCACAACCTCCGCACCTGCGTTTCGGGGCCCCGCAGCGGAGTCAGCAGAGCAGCCGGAGGGCCAAGAGCGTGGAAGACGACGACGAAGGCCACCTCGTCTATCGCATCGGCGACTGGCTCCAAGAAAGATGTACAGCCAAATCGTAACATTAATCTAGTCTCTAGTTTAAGCTCCCATCCGCAGTCGCACAATTGTTCTGTTAAGCTGTTCATTTTGTCCCGCCCGTCCCCCGCCTGTTCCTTTCATTTCTCTTTGCAGTGTCTGTCTGTTTGATTTAAAAAGGAAGCTTTCCCTTTCCCTTTAAAGTTCCCCTCCCTCCCTCCCTCCTCCCTTATCTTTCTATGTCGTGATCCAAATGGCCAGGGATTTTAATTGGCTTGCTCCAGTCTCCGGGGCGGGCGCTTAGGGCTGGCCCGGGAAGGAAGGCGTTGCGGCGGTGTGTTACGCGCAGTGTCCGGATGCCGCCCGCGCTCACGCCCGCCTCTTCTCTCTGTGTTTCTCTCCCTTCTTAGACGAGATCATCAGCACCCTTGGAGAGGGCACCTTTGGCAGAGTGGTGCAGTGCATTGACCACCGCAGGTAGGCGCACCGTTGGAAGTTTCCTTTCCTAGCTGCAAAAAAATGACATTGCGGAAAAGCAAAGGAGCTGTGGTTTGGACAGGAGCTGTGGTTTGGACAGGAGTTCCTAGTGTGGCGTTCATGGGCATCGCGGCACCCGCATACTCCATTCCTGGCACCCACCAAGTGTTTTTGAGAAGTGGGCGGGGCTTTTGCCCAGCAGGGCTCCCGATTGGCCATTGCAGATTTGATTGGCTGTGCAGATCTTTAGAAACAATGCTTTGGAGGCCCCGCCTGTCTTGTCCACCTCCTGGCAAGCTAGACCATGGTCCTCGGGTGAGTTTTAAGAGGTGGAGGCGGTCCTTCAGGTCGCCCCGGCCCCAGGCGTCATGGGGTTTCAGTGGTAAGAATTTATACTAATTGATATTCCCAGTGAGATTTCGAATTTATTATTACAGTCCATGACCAGCACAAGATCAGTTACAGCAAGGTAGATGAATCTAATAAGTTTTAGGAAATGCACAATATTTAAGATTACCGAACGGAACGGCCGATGCATTCTTAAAATCACAGAACAGACTGAACAAAACGTCTGCATTTTATGATCCAGCAACATCCTGTGTTAATTCCCTGCAAATTCTGCACGATGCTGCAAGAAATCTGGCACAGGGGAGTGTGTGAGCTGAGGATTTGCATCTGAAAGGAACTTCCTTGTAATTTCCAATTCAGAGCAGGCAGAAAACCTCCCAAACAAAGGTGCAATGATCTTCACGAGGATTTCCTGGTAGAAACGGCAGTGAAGCAAAGTATGCTCATTTGCCTCAACCTTCCCTGCTCCACGGAGCTGTGGTGGCTCAAGTGGTTAAGACACTGAACTGCAGGCTGTGGAAGGTCGATAGTTCAGCAGTTCAAGACCCGAGTGTGCCACATGACGGAGTGAGCCCCCGTCTCTAGTTCCAGCTCCTGCCAACCTAGCAGTTGGAAAGCAAGAAATTGCAAGTAGATAAATAGGTACCACTTCGGTGGGAAAGTAACAGCGTTCCGTGCGCCTTGGTGTTTAGTCATGCCGGCCACATGACCACGGAAACGTCTTCAGACAGCGCTGGCTCTTCGACTTTGAAACGGAGATGAGCACCGCAACCCTAGAGTCGGATTCGACTGGCTTTCGAGCAAGGGAACCTTTACCTTTTTCCCCTGCTCCACACGGGCAAACCCCCTCTGCTAATGGGATATTCCTATAATGGAATGTTCCCCGTCTTCAAAAGCCATCTCGCACAGAGCACGTTGAGTTTAAGACACGTAGATCCTGTCCTCCCTGTACCTATAGCTGAGGCAGCTAATAGCATAGATAATACAATAACCAATGAAATCAAGATGGGTAGCCCTGTTTGTCTGTGGCAGTAGAAAAGAGCAAGAGTCCAGTAACACCTTAAGGATTAACACATTTCGTGGCAGGGGAGGAGCTTTCGTGAGTCACTGCTCACTTCTTCAAATCTGAGTCACTGCTCACTTCTTCTTCAGGAAAGCTCCTCCCCTGCCACAAACCTTGTTAGTCTTTAAGGTGCTACTAACCAATAAAAGGTAAAGCTGCGGTGGCTCAAGTGGTTAAGATGCTGAACTGCAGGCTTTGGAAGGTCAGTAGTTCACCAGTTCGAGACCCGAGTGTGCCACATGACGGAGTGAGCTCCCGTCTCTAGTTCCAGCTCCTGCCAAGATAGCAGTTTGAAAGCAAGAAATTGCAAGTAGATAAATAGGTACCACTTTGGTGGGAAGGTAACAGCGTTCCGTGTGCCTTGGTGTTTAGTCGTGCCGGCCATATGACCACGGAAACGTCTTCAGACAGCGCTGGCTCTTCGGCTTTGAAACGGAGATGAGCACCGCAACCCTAGAGTCGGACTCGACTGGCTTTTGAGCAAGGGAACCTTTACCTTTACCTAACCAATAAAATGTATTTTAAAACCCTCCGCGATCAGTCGTTTGAAAACAAGCCGTCAAGCGCATCCGAGGAAAAGGTTATAATTCTAAAAACCACAAAAGTTCTCATGAAAATGGGCCTAATCTACAGGGGCAAATGTTAAAAGATGGGGTAGTTTAAAAGCGCGAGGGAGTCAGAATGTCTTTCCCAAGTGAGCCTTTTTGGGGAGGGAGTTCCAGAGCATGGGTGCCAGCACGGCGAAGGCCCTATGGATTCAGATGGTGGTACACAGGGGCAAAGGTACTCTTTCAGGTAACTGGGCAGAGCTGGGTGTAAATGTGACGTCAAAATGGTCTGTGGTTCAAATACAAGAGGCATTGTGATTTAGCTTGATCGGGTCAATGCTAAAAACAAAAATAGGGGGGGGGGGAAATTGCTGAATGACCAGAAAGCCGACAGGTTCCCCGAATCACATGTGGGCAGAAGAGAGACAAATGACAGGAAAGACCCTTTGCCCTGCCGTCTTGGAGAGCCACTTGCATTACAAGGAGGCCGTGGCCACCATCCTACCGTAGGCTGGAAGAAGTTCCTCCTGCCAAGACCTGTATTTTATTTCCTTCATTCGTAACCTGCCTTTCTCACCCAGATTCAAGGCAGATTATAGACTATGAAGCAGACAGCAAAGAGACTTCCAGCTAATAGTGCAGGAGGTCTGGGATTCCAGCATTGTGCAATGGAAATAAAATGTCCTGCAACAGGCATGGCATAATACAGAAAGCGGGTAAAGAAAGGTGGGAGGCACCTGTCCGTTACAAAGCAGACCCTTGCGCTATTCCATCACATGCTGTTGCTTTATAACAGGGGTGGCCAAACTTGCTTAATGTAAGAGCCACAAAAAATAAACGTCCGATGTTTGAGAGCTGGAAGACATGAACAAACATTACACGTTTTTACTGGGGAATATGCAGATTTGGTTTTTATTAACATTAAATGAGACTGCCAAAAATAATAACAAAAGCAGTAAAAGCAGATATTGATAATGGTATTTATTTGTCCGATGATACCTGTTTGCTAATGATATTTAGCTTCCCCAGTTGCCCTGCCGGGAGCCGCACAATAGGTGTGAAAGAGCCACGTGCGGCTCCCGAGCCACAGTTTGGCCACCCCTGCTTTATACTGAACAAAGTTTTGAGTCAGTGGCACCTCTCAGACCAACAAAGTTTAATTCTGGATATAAGCTTTCGTGTGCTTGCACACTTCCCCGGAGAAATGTAAAAGGTAAAGGTTTCCCTTGCTCGAAAGCCAGTCGAGTCCGACTCTAGGGTTGCGGTGCTCATCTCCGTTTCAAAGCCGAAGAGCCAACGCTGTCTGAAGACGTTTCCATGGTCATGTGGCCGGCGTGACTAAACACCAAGGCACACGGAACGCTGTTACCTGCCCACCAAAGTGGTCCCTATTTATCTACTTGCAATTTCTTGCTTTCGAATTGCTAGGTTGGCAGGAGCTGGAACTAGAGACGGGAGCTCACTCCGTCATGTGGCAACTCGGGTCTCGAACTGCTGAACTACCGACCTTCCAAAGCCTGCAGTTCAGCGTCTTAACCACTTGAGCCACCGCAGCTGGATGCACTCAAAAGCTGATACCCAGAATTAAACATTTGTTGGTCTGAAAGGTGCCACTGGACTAAAGAAGTCCACATGCACACGAAAGCTTATACCCAGAACTAAAAATGTGTTGGTCTGTAAGGTGCCGCTGGACTTAGGGAAGTGTGCACGCACTCTAAAGCTTACATCCAGAATTAAACATTTGTTGGTGTTAAAGGTGCCACCGGAGTCAGACTTTGCTCTGTTGCTTGAGACCAACGTGGCTACCCCACCTGGATCTGCTTTATGCTGAGTCCAGACCCCTCCGTCCTTTCAAATCAGCATTGTCTGCTCAGACCGGCAGTAGCTCTCCAGGTTGCCTGACCTACCTCACGGCTCTGTTGTAAGCAATGAAAATCGGGGGCAAGACTTGTAACCGATAAAAACATGGGCCAAGCCATACACACAACACCCCGTGAACCTAGTACAGTTCCGCGGGGCCTGTAAGACGGAGCTCTTCCGCCAGGCTTTCGAATAGGAGCCGCCACCATCACTGTTCCACCAACGCCCTATGATTTCCGCAGACTGCCATCCTGGTGCGGGCATTATTGGAGGGAAATGGGAGCATACCATCTTGGCCTTAAACAAAAATTCTAACATCTGGAACCAAACAGAGGAGCACTGAAAATGTTTTCTGATGTTTATCTGTTATGAATTGTCTATCTGTAATTTAACATTGTAATTTAACATTTTATATTGTTTTATTGTTTTACTTGGCATTATGCCCTGTTAGCCGCCCTGAGCCTGCGGGGAGGGCGGGATAGAAATCTAAATAAATAAATAAACTAGAATTGTTAATAACACTTACAATAAACAATCGATATACTACCGAACGTTTGTGCAAACATTACACTGTTTGCACGACCTTTCAGCGGTGTGTATCGTTTATCGTGTCATTGACACTCCTAGTTTACGCAGTGCTCTTTGGTTTCGTTGACGCATGGCCCCGTGTCCCTGTCGTATTGTGTATATACACAGCACCAGCGTCTCCCTTCCTCCATGTCATCCTCACCCACAGCCCTGTGAGTTAGTTCAGGCCGATTAGCTCACGGTTGCCCAGTGAGCTGGCGGGGGGGCCTCAGCCCCCCGCGGTCCCAGGCTCTCTAGCCGTCATCCTGCATCGATTCCCCGTCTGAGTCCAAGTCTTCCTCTCCCTCCCCAGGGGTAACACCCGTGTGGCTTTAAAAATAATCAAGAACGTGGAGAAGTACAAAGAGGCCGCTCGGCTGGAGATCAACGTGCTGGAGAAGATCAACGAGAAGGATCCGGACAACAAGAAGTGAGCATTTGGTGGGGGTGGGTGGTGGGTGGGTGGAGAGATGGCTCAGATGCCCCCCGTGCCTGGCCTTCCCCCGGATTCTCCGACCAGGAGGAGACTCGAACCCGGTTCTAACCAGCCTTGCGCCTCTTTCCAGCTTGTGCGTGCAGATGTACGACTGGTTCGACTACCACGGGCACATGTGCCTGTCCTTCGAGCTCCTGGGCCTCAGCACCTTCGACTTCCTGAAGGACAACAACTACCTGCCTTACCCCATCCACCAGATCCGGCACATGGGCTACCAAGTGTGCCAGGCGGTGAAAGGTGAGTGCCCGGAAAGGTGAAGAGCGGGGGGTGGGGCTGGGGACTTGGGCTTTCTGCATGTGTAGAATTCTGCAGCAGGGTACGCTTCCGTGACTGCAAGAGCTGGCTTCTGCCACTGGTATAAATGGTCCAGTTAACTTAAAACCAGGGGGTTCCCAACATGGTGCTCGTGGGCACCATGGTGCCCGCCAAGTGCTTTTAGAAAGTGGGGGGGGGGTAAGGTGGGGCCTTTCCCCATCAGGGCTTCTGCTTGGCTGTGCAGGTCAAAAAGAAGCCTGTTAAACAGGGCTTCTGCCCGGAATGTTGGAAGAGTTACCATTAGATTTGTATGCCGCCTCGATCCATTTTGTGACTGACTCTACAACTATTCAGCGTAAGTATTAAGATTGAAGGGCTTCTTCTGTTGCTGCGGATAAAGTGATCGGATCAGATCCTGCAGGTTTGCCCCCCCCCCCCCGACTTGAAAGGGAGCTCCGTGCACCAGGGGGAAGTGTCACCCTTATTTGAACGGATCTGAATGTTTCAGCCCAGTATGTTACCGATAGCTGACCTGTCAGTCAATCAAAAAGATTTTTTAAAGGTTTTTTTTTTAAAAAAAAGTTGATTGCCTTAAGTATCCCGCACTTGAGTAGATAATACTGGGCCGGATAGATTGCTAGCCTTTTTCAGAATAAGGCCGCTTCACGTGTTCAACTGAGGCCAGGTAGGAACATCAGAAGAGCCCTGATGGATCTGATCAGTGGCCCATGTAGTCCAGCATTCCGTCTCACACCGTGGCCACCGACTTCCTCTGGAGGGCCAACAGACAGTGTATAGAAGCTGAGGCCTTCCCCTCATAAGAACATCAGAAGAGCCCTGCTGGATCAGACCAGTGAGGGTCCCTCTAGTCCAGCCTCCTGTCTCACACAGTGGCCTCAACCAGTTCCTCTGGAGGGCCAACAACAGGGCAGAGAGGCCGAGGCCTTCCCCTCATAAGAACATCAGAAGAGCCCTGCTGGATCAGACCAGTGAGGGTCCCTCTAGTCCAGCCTCCTGTCTCACACAGTGGCCTCAACCAGTTCCTCTGGAGGGCCAACAACAGGGCAGAGAGGCCGAGGCCTTCCCCTCATAAGGACATCAGAAGAGCCCTGCTG